CGAGAGAAAGTCTTTTCAAAAGTAAATAAATTCGGATAATTTTATTTCATTTATTTTAATCTTTATCGGGTTAAAAAAAATCACGACTGAATGATTTTTTATTGTGCAGATTTTGCAAACATTTGCGTCAAGTTTGCCCTGCCTGGTTTTGCAATTTTTCCAAACTGCATCTTATTATTTTAATCTTGACGATATTTCCTATTAGCCTGATTGTTTTCACGACCACCTTTTTCTCCCACAATTTTTCTAAGAGTGCCTCATGAAATTATAGTTGAGCATAAAATGAGAAAATTGCACCCGGACCGCTCCTCCTTCCCTGCCTCCTACACTTTTTAATCCATTTCGTCCTCAACCCTTTCCTTCCTCCCCGAGTGGAGTGGAGTGCCGGGTTAAATTAAAATATGCAAAGAAGGCCTCGGATGGCAGGAATGATACATAAGCAAGCAAGGAATCCAGTGGGGGATTAGGCAGCCAAGCTTTAAATTAAGGAGAGGCATATGGCTAATACTCACTCCGTGCGACGCCCTCCTCTCTCCACCGACATGATTTAGACGACAGCTTAAAACCCCGCACTCTACGAGTCGAGGGTCCTCGTATGCAGTGGCCACGGAAGCTGTGGGGACGTTAACATTGTTGGGTAGATACCTGTTCACCTTCATTCATTTGATTAATTATGGTTGTGAATGGAAATGAATTTCCTTCATTCATTTGAATGAAAATGACTGAAGGATTGCGTCATTTCAGGTGAATGAATGTGAATGAAGGATTTTTCGCTCTTCATTTTTCATCCTATGCTTAATACATGGGGCGAGGTAAGAAATGAAGTCGGATGAAGTAAGTAAAGTGAAGTGAAGTGAATTTGAACGAAAATGAATGAATGATTGTGAATGAAAATCTTCACTCAGAAATCGGGATGACTGACTTTTGAATGAAGACTAAATTTGTTTGAACAGGTTTTGTAGGATAGGATTTATTTAACATGGGTAGATCACGGGGACATCGAATCACCCTGGGGACATTGTCACCCTTCCGCGGCCATTGCTCCTATCCATGCACCCACCTTTGTTTCGTTGGATACAGAGACAAATCCATATTTATGGGAAATCATTCCTTCCTCCACGAAGAAGGGAGAGCTTATCCATGATAAGTTGTCGTATAATTAAATCTGGAACGAAACGTCGCGCATCGCATCTGAAGCGAAGCCTTTCAGGAGATTACATTTTAATCAAATTGCTTCAGCAACAAAAGAAATCTGGGAACATCTGAGACTCAGAAACGGTCTCAATTAGAAGAAGAAAACGGAGATGATAAAAACGATAATGGGACCGGGTTTTCAGTCTGAATGGAACTTTCTCTCTGCTGACGGCGCCCCTTTTTTAATCGGAAACTGGTGTTGGAGGGAGGGTTGTAAAACGGGTATTGTTATCGATGTCATGTCAACATTTGGTGACCCGACTGGACTCGATTACTGCTGAGCTGACCACCTCACTTGAGTCCAATAATAATCCAGTGTGTGGCTTGTAATGAGGGCATTAACGCTGTTAATCCTTATCCCCGGCTGGATAGCTGGGTGGCTATCTTAATGACCAGTATAGGAAAGAGCGATGTATGTAGTGGTAACTGGTAACTGGTAAAGGATGGATGGATTAAGTTAGTGGATTGGATTAGATTTTGCATGGATGGATGGATTTTTACATGAGAAAGGAAATTGTTGGTTGAGTTAGGTGAGTGATTTCGTGGTGGGTGGATAGTAGGCAGCACTTGGATTATAAAGAGGGAAAGAGTTAGTTGGTTTGGTTGGATTAAAAAAAGTGGAGCTTGCAAAGAAGCGAGTTTTTTGGCAGGATGCATTTTTCCAGGTTTTCTACTTTACGGCAGGTATCTAGAGTTTCTTCATTTTGATTTTGTTTGTTTGTGGTAGGTTTAGAATTTTTTCATGAATTATTTTACAGATTAAATTTTAACTTTTCCAGAAATTTCCAGGTATCGTTGTTGGTGGGCATTACATGCCTTGTTGGACTTGGTTTATCTTCAACATGGATTGTACCTTCAAAATACAAAAAAATACCGTTCGCCAACAATACACCTTCAACGACAATATGACAAATTAAAAAGTTTGTCTTTAACCTTTTGGTGTTAAGCCATGACAAAAAATTCTGAATTTCTTTCCAAAAATTAAACATGATTAAATTGGAATTGTCTCATACATATCTGACTTTTTATGGGAAACAACTAAACTAAATTTTTCTTAAAAGAAATTGATACAAAAATTCAGCAAATTATTAAGTTTGCAGTTTAAGAAGCACACACAATTTGAAGAGATTTGCTTTAAAGACTCTTTGTGCCTCTACATACATATGTAGCTCATGACAGGCACGTGCATAAAGAATTTCGACAACTTTACTCTCTGATCAGTGACACCCTTAGAAAACTGGTATTGAATCATTACTGACCGGAGTACATACTTTTGTGACTCTACCAGCACGGTAATAATGGGCATTACCGTTTAGTAGTTTTGTCGCAATACAAAATTTACCAGTCAGAAACAAACCACCACCAATCCGGTGTGAAGTTATTACCAAATCAATACCAGTACGAAGTGTATATCTAACTCCACCAAATTTTGAACATTATATCAAAAAGTCGGAAATTTTAACATTATTCCGCACATGGATAAAGAAACATCTTTAAAAAAATCCCATCCATCACGCCCAGCCCCAATTCATACCCTTCCACTCTGCAGATACATTCACGTATTAATAACTCGCCTTGGGTTTAGCCTTAGCCGTGGATTTGCTTCTCTTTTTTTCCACCCGTTCTATTACATCACGAGAGAAGAAGGCCGTACATACAAAAGAGGTAGAGATGCAGTTTGACAAGATTGCCGTTGTCGACGCAGGCGTGGCGGCCATCGCCGCAAATCTTCATCCTCTCTCCTCAGCAGTTTCTTCCTTCTCCAGAGAGCCAACAACTTTTGTAGCTCAAAACCAAACTTGAACAAAGCAGGACTCGTTACACAACCAGCGAAAATCCTCCAGTTTTCACAATGAAACCACCGAAAGAATTCAGAATCTCGCAAGACAATTAAACATTAAAAAATCCAGGATTAATTGTTACGCAAGAGAAAATTATGTAATGCATAAATAAATAATCCTTTTAATCGTATTAAGAAATTAAAATCTGGTTATGTAACGAGCTTATTTTATTAAAAACCTTCAATTTTATGGCCTTTTTACGGTTAAAAAGCCGACTTTTGTGTCTCATTTCAGTAAACAAAACGCTAATTAAGAAATGGTATTTGTTATGCAAGCAGGTGAATTATTTGAGTTAGTTTAGTGACAGGTATGAATTAAGAAGTCAAAATAAATCCCACGATGAGAAACGGAGACATATATTTCCGGTTGTCTGTCGGCAATCAGGATCAGAAATCGGATTATTTTTCTTAAGAAAAGTATTTTCTCAGAGAAGAATTTGAATCAAGAGGGATGATAAATATGTAAATACGTACATAGCAAAAACCAAAGTAAACAGAACAGAAGTTTGTTGAGAAAGAGAGTGTACTGTAGAGAAGATTGTTCATAAAGATAAGTGGATATCAGGGAGGGATATCTACATAGTTGAGGAGGTGGGTGGGTGGACGCTGGCACGACCAACTGACTAATAAGAGTTGACAACCTAACCTCTTTAACAAAATTTGTATTCAGAAGTTTCTTATTCAAGGTTTTGGTCTGTTACGTATGTTGGAAAATTTAGAGTTGGGAAATTCACGTCAAAATTTATATGCGAAGTAAAATTTTTCTAATGCTCCCAGTTTTGTGAGACAAATTACGAAATTTGGTCGAAAATAAGTTCCCTATTATAGAAAAATAATGGTCACTCATTTTTTTCTATTTAAAAATTTACCATGGCAAAACTAACGTCAAACCGAAACTTGTGCAGGTTCAAAGATACCATTTTTCCAAATTATTTGTGCAACAATTTCAAGAAGTTTGAAATCCGAGGTGTAAGTGTCACAAAAAATGCTTAACTTCGCAGCCGATATTTTAATTGGATCAAACTGGACATAATCATTGTCTAATTGTTAGATGGGTCGATGCCTTTTATTCTGATGAGAAAATGTCATATGCACATAATTAGAGTAAAAGTATATCGTCTTATGCAATGTTTTTTATACCATGTGACTTTTATGAAATACAAATTAAGCTAAATTATACCAGTGATCAGACACCCTATTTCATAATTTATTCCTTTAAAAAAATATGCAATCCTTTTTTTAATACGTGTACCCTATTTAGAGTGCAAATTTGAAATTTTACCCTCTTTCACGATACTTGCAACCCTTTTTTCTGAAAAATTGCAACCCAAATATCTCTGCAACTAGACCCCATTTAGACTGCACTGCAACGAAAATATAATTGCACTCCAACTCCTCTACGGGTGGTGGTAATTCGCGATAAGTAATGGGGTGCAATAATGGCACAACTATGTACATGATTTGTACATACATAAATACGTGCATATCTAAAATGGCACCACTACTCCCAGTTACGAGTTATATAACAATAATAAAACTCATAATAATAATAAATACGTAACTTTTACTTGTTGGATTACCCACCCAGTAAAATAATAATAGTTAACTTTTCCATGCTAAATCTGCGGCATGGTCGTCGTCTCGTGTATGCAATGCAATCCACTGAAACCTGGTCCATAACACTAAAACTTAATGGGATTATTCATTCGTGGTTTGGTTTGGTTGTTTTGATAATTAAATCAATCAAATTGTACGTACATACGCATACATATTTTCGCACATTTTTTTGCAACACTGACACACATGCAATTTTTATGAAGAAGATGATCATCTTTACACTCATCATCTCACTCACTTACTCAATGATATTTACGCGTATGTATGTATCTTCATGAGTTAGGTTGAGTTAAGCGCAGGCAGTTTCTGGTAATAATAATAATAATGAAATTAAACGAGAATGACCAACCTTTACCTTTTAAGAGGCTCCTTGTCCCAGGTCAATCGCGTCTCGTCTCTCGGAGCAACAGATTTTTTGTTGGCAAAAGTGCAAAAATTTGGGGAATTTTTGTGTTTTTTGTCTATAGTAAATTTTGACCTGATTGTATAACTTAATGTAAACGAGACGTGCTGTGAACACTGCGTTGTTTACACCACTTTGTTTCCTAATTTATGGGAACTTTCACCCGGAATTTAAAAACAAATAATTTTTCGTTTTTTCGGAGGGATTTTGTCGAAGGGAAACCACCATTTTGATCGAGGCTATTCCTCTTTTTTTCCTTTTGCTCCATTGTTGGAAGAGCGGAGGAGCAGATGTTTTTCGAGGGGTGGAAGAGTCCTTTTTTGATTTTTGTTTTTGTGTGTGACGAAATTTTTGAGAAAATTTTGAAAGGATTTTATAAGCTTGAATGTGGCCCCTTCGACCTCGTTCCCCCGACTGGGCTGAAATTGTGAAGAAAATGGAAATATAACAAACTGGGTTTGGCATTTACGAGGATTTTGTAGTTTTAAGTATGAATTTTACGAGACATAAAATTTTCCTGGGGTTGCCATCCATGTGCGAATTTGGGTTTGGCCGAAAAGTCGTAACTTGTGAGAGAGAAGAGAAGAGAGACGAGAGGAAGGAAAGGAGATGAGGTTCGTGATGAGTGGGAGAATAATATGTCACATGGAATAAGAGGCATGTTTTTAGCGTAAGAAAAAGAAATGTGTGTTAGAGGGAAAGATGAGAAAAGGAGAAATTTTGGTAAAACTAACAAATTTTGAAAATATTCGAATGTTTCTGAAGGTGTGAAATTATTTTATGAAAACTTAATTGGCGTTGGAATTTGACATTTGGTCATGTTTTTTTCTCAATTGGTGCACGACTTTATCCAATTTCACTAAAAATACGTATGCAATTACGAAAGGAGTCCTAGGTACATATGTACAGGGTGTTTTAAACTTAATGGAAACAATACAATGGAAAATTTTTGCAAAGGAAAAACCCCCTAAATCTCCATACGAGGATTTGACATTGAGATTTTTACTGATTACTTAACTCTAATATCAAAACTGATGAATCATAAAAACAAAATTATTAAAAAATGTTGGATTTCAGAGGCAAAATTCAGGTAACTTTGCAATGGAAATTTGCAATTTTTTTCTACTACGCCAAGACATTTTAACCTTATGGAGTATTTAATTATGATTTTTTTTTTGTAAATACTTAATCGGCATCGCAATTTGACATTTTGTTGAGTTTTTTTATTCTTTGCATGTCTTTGTGCTAACTTTTGCAAAAAGACTCAATTTTTTACATTAAAAGAACCATGGTGAATTTGCATAAATTATATTTTTAACTTGTGGGAAATATGCGAAATATGTTAAAATTGATGAGAAAAGTTGACATTTTGTTAAAAATACAAAAATATACCGACATCTGGCTAATCTTATTGTTTACTAAATTTCGAAATTATTTTATAAACATTAAATTGACGTCGAAATTAAGCATTTAAGTTTTTACACCCTGAAAACCTACAAATTCGGCACATTTAGAAAAATCATATGAAATTTTACACCGCTTTCTCCACAGTTTGGTAATATTATATATTTTTCCAAATTTAGGATTTTTGTCAGCTAATCGTTCTAGGCCTTGATTTCAACTTGGTTAAACATTTTGCCAGCACAAATATTCATATTTTTCACAATTTTTTTTGTATGCATCCATTCCACCCACAAGAAGAACCCCCTCATTGTTGTCCCTCCTTCTCCTCGAGCCATATCCTCCCACACATACGTACGTAGTATTCTTCTTGCTGGCGTAATAAAATGGCGAATTGATTCAGTTACGTGTGCTCATGTGTGCGCTAATCTTTTCCTGTCACGCTATGGCTGCCACTACAAAAACGCACCTCCTCCAATCCAATCCAGTCCAAAAGTAATGAATTAAACATTACTTCGCATCCATCCATCCACCTCCACTCGGAATCTAAAAGCATAAAATTATGCTGATGATGGGGAAATTGCCCAAATTATTGGGAGAGCGAGTGAGTGTGTTCCTCTTGGTGAAATAATAAGGGAAGAATGAATAATGAGGCTGGGGTAGACAAAAGTATGTACAAAATATGATATGTAATATGTGAAAGAGTAAAGTTTGAGATTTTTTGAGAGTTGCACTCTTGAAAATTTTGGGACACATTTTGAGTTTGATTTAATATTCACGTGTGATTACTTCTTACCGCATTTAGAAAATTTGATAGAATTTAGAAATTCGCGATATATGTATGCATGGCAAATTTCTTAAGGGTATGAAAAGAGGTTTTTTATTTATTTAGCTTGCATGGATTATTTGCTCTTTCCAATAAAAATTTTAATACAACTGATGAGTTTACGAAATAATTTTGCGAAATAAAAACATGCCCTGTAAATAAGTTTGTAAAAATCTCATGCTTTTCCAGCAAAAGTTTTCCGAAATCTGACAAACTTCGCAAGTTGTTTCTATGCTCATGAAATTTGTGAGATATACGAAGGTTGACGTATGAGTATACGTTCACTGTAAATAATGCGGTAACAAAATTGTTACTGAGCGTATTTATACTACTTTACCGCATAGGTAACAATGATAAATTGTTGTAATGATTTTTTTCAATTTGGAATCAATTTCTTATTTGATACATACATAAATTTTTGAATTTGGAAATATAATTATTGTCACGTGTTACCCACGTGTCAATACACGCATGTCTTTATTGCTCTACTTTGTCCCCCCATTTTTAAGAGTACTTCTTGTAAAAAATGAGCACGTCACTACTCTCTTGATGAAATAATTATGCATACTAAATTATCCTCATGCTGCACTAATTGTTCTTTTTTGTTTGGAGTTAAAAACAGAGGAATGACTTGTCAAGTGCGGATTAAATCAGGATTCAATTCTGTTCTACGTACAAGAAAACCATGCTTGTTGCAATGTCATGTATGTCGTGTATTTTTTTGGTGGTGTAGGTGTCACCATAATTAATTGCAGAGTTGACGCACTTATTTATTTACACGACGATTTTTTGGTGATGTCACCCCGCAGCCATAATACACACACAGTGGCCGCGGAAGCCGTGGGGGCATCTGGGGACGTTAACATTGCGGGATAGGGGAAGGAGGGGCTTGTATAACATGGGGAGATGATGGAATAATCGTGGGGACATTGTCCCCAGATGTCCCCACGGCTTCCGCGGCCACTGTACACAAACACTTGTCCACATTCGTTATCTTGTGACAGACTCGCATGTCTTGGTCCTATTTCATCCCGGCATAATCCATTATTCATTTTCGCTAGAGACTCGAATCTCATTTTTTTTCGTTACCTCAGAGAGATCTTAGAAATAGTGAGGACTTTGGGAATAAGGAGAGAATTTTAAATTATTTATGAAAGAACGTAGCAAGCAAATTATTATCCAGGCATGTTTTTTTGAAGCGTTGCTAAGCAACGGTTACGATGTTATGAAATGTTTTGGAAATCCAGGCACATTTTGTGGTTACTTCGTTTTGACATTTTAAAAATTAAAGTGCAGGTTTATTAGTTAAATTTCATAGAACTGTTTTAATTAAGAAGGAGCCATACATTGCATTGAACTAATTTCTGCTAAAATTTCTGCTAAAATTTTGCACACGTTTTGTTAAGAAAGTAATTATTTTTCAAACTTTAACGCCAAAATATAAATTTTGAAAATGGTCAATGTTAAAAAAATATAGATTAGATAGATCGGTGGAAAGAAATCGAAAACTGAAGGAGAACGATGGACAAATTTCGATTTAAATATTTTTGATGCAATTCGCACGGACCTTGGTAACTTTGTAAAGTCCGTAAATTTTATAAAATAATTTTACAAACTTTACAAAAAGGAGACGTCCTTGATCTGTGTAAATTTACAAAAATAGCTTAATTTTCCCTAGAAATATTTGTAAAATTTTGTAAAAGCTTGCGTATTTTATGGATTTACAAAGTTACAAAGGACTGCGTGAATTACCTCAGTATCAATATTTTAAAATAATTTTTACGTCGATGTTTTGATTACAAAAATCCAACTTAGGAAAAAGCTCAGAAAATTTTAAATCCTGCATTTATTTAGGAATGTAGCAAATTATTATCCAGTGGAGACCCAAAAATTATTGCGTTCGTTGCCCGTACATGAAAAAATTATGATATATTTTCCATGGCGGACATAGATAATACTAAAAGATGGAGACATTGCATTGGGGAGAAGCGAATTTTGCTTTTTTTGTAGGTTGTCAGTGTAGTGGAGAGATGCCAAGTAAGTAAATTGTGTGTACAATGCAGCTCTATGATTTACGAGGGACGAGGTCCATACAAAGCCAAAGAGTTGTCCTGTCCTCTTGTCAGAATTTTAATTAAAGAGATATTGTCCAGTCGGAGAGATACGAATATGTAGGAGAGATACCAAGGAGGGAGAGTAGGATTAGGACCATGCGGATAGGATGAGGTCAATTTTTTTTAGACGAAACTTGCTTCAAAGTTCAATTTTAACTAAAATTTTGCAAATTTTGTAAAAATTGTCAAGAGCAAAGTGAAAAATTGCATTTAAACAAGGACACGTTTAGGTAGTTTTTTTAAATTTTGGTTTTATATGTTTTGTCTACATAAAGAGTTAAGCTAGTTCAAATCAAATTTTTGACTGTTTTTAGTAATTTTTTGAATGACGTTTTCGACAAACTGTAACCAAGGCAACTCAACAAAATTTTGTCACGTTTCTGCACAGGAAATACTGACTTCACACAGTCCTTGGTAACTTCGTAAAATACGAGCATTTTGTAAATTTTGAAAAATAATTTTACAAACTTTTACAAAATAAAGAGACGCCCTTGATCTCTGCAAGTTTACTACTTTCGGAATATTCCAAAAAATTTGTAAACCTTAATAAGTTTACAGAATTTCCGGATTTTACAATGTTACCAAACTGAATTATGTAAAAATCCAAACCGAAGTTTGCCCACAGTTTTCCTTCACGTTTTATAATATACCAATTACCAATATACTAATTATTTATAATATGTACACCTACATTTTATTTTTCAAATTATCAAATTCTTCAAAATTTTTATTTTGGCGTTATAGTTTTATATTTAGTCCTTTTTGTACAACAAATTATAGTCAAAATTTGATTCCGTGAATTTATGACATTTTCCATGTTCAGCCCGCTGGTAGAAAATGATTTAGTATTCACACACACACAGGCCGTCGTTTTGCCAAGATATTTCCCTTGGTAAAGTTTACTTGGACTTGTTTAGGTTTTGCTTTATTAGCCAAGTTTTGAGCTTGGTCCAGAGGGAATAATTCATCCCGTTGCGTTGCGTTGTAAGTCTTTCTTTTTGAGCTGATTGTGCATTCTGCATGCATAAATAGTTCGTGAGTGAGTGAGTGAATGGAGAGGACTAT